CTCCTATGAATCAAATCAAATAACCTGATTTTCACCCGAACTAGCTTAGAAAAGGCAAATTACTCCGGAAGACATCTCTACCCAGGGTCAAGCTTCAAAGGTTTGTCTAAGCCCAACAAGAAGCTTCAGCATAAGGTGATCCACCACAACGCCCAAAATACCTGGAAGTCACCAGCTGGGAACTCTAACACTCAAAGACAGTATTCCCAAACCACATGCAACAATGACAACAGAATACAAACAGTATTTAGTAAAACTGAACCCAATCATTGTCTAAGATCCCACAAAACCTGTGAAGCAGCTGCTACTAGAAGATGACAACATTACTACTAAGAAAACTAAAACTGTGAATTTTTATTTAGTCATACAATGCTTGAAATACTAATGAGGTTTTCTTGCTGTTGAAAGGAAATGAAGATTTCTCCCTTTCTCCATGAAATTTAGCAGTATTCCCTAAAGCTATGGGAAGATTTCGTTTAGTTTGACTGGTAGAACAAGAAAGAACAAGTCCCATACACAACCCCAACTCCACCATACAAAGGTAAAATAGATCATCATGATACAGGCTTTAATTAAGAGAACCAATCTACCTTGAGGAGAATTCGAGAACTTTAAAGACATTCCTCAAGTGAAAAAGTTTCTGATTTCAGCCCTACACATTCAGCTTAGCTGCAAAATGTCACCAGTAAAACTGTTTGGAGAAATTACACAGCAGTAAGTGCTGCAAGAACTGAAACCTTGACAATTATCACTGAATGATAACCATCACAGGATGGTTTGGGTTGGGAGGGAGAGAGACCACCTTGCTCCATCCCCTCTGCCATGGCAGGGACAGCTTCCACTGTCCCAGGCTGCTCCAAGCCCCATCCAGCCTGGCCTTGGGCACTGCCAGGGATCCAGGGGCAGCCACAGCTGCTCTGGGCACCCTGGGCCAGGGCCTGCCCACCCTCCCAGCCAGAAATTCCTTCCCAAAATCCCATCTGTCCCTGCCCTCTGGCAGTGGAAGACATTTACTCTTGTCCTGTCATTCCATTCTCTAGTAAAAAGTACTTTTCCACTTTGTAGGATCCCCTCAGGAGCAATGCAGGTCTCATATAAGAAAAAGTTTCCAATTTATGCATTAAACCTAACAGTAGTATGAATAACAATGTAAATAGTACCTAATGAAATCTGTAGACCTTAACGTGTATCTTAGGGATGATTTCTGATGATCCTTTTTGAAGCAAGTGAGTAGTTCTCCAAAAAGGAGCAAATTTAACAATTTCCTATGAAAATACATTTGCTAATACAGGCATTCAGTTTTGTGTTTGACTTCATAGTTAACTCCAGATTTAAGCACCCTTACCATATTTTAATGCTTCTTTGGAATGGGCTCTTATTCTTTTTATCCTATGTGATGTTAATTGAAGTACAGAAACCTATATTTTTATCATGAAGAAGAATAAGATGGCAAAACATCACATCTTGCAAATGGCCAGAAACACCCCACCAATTAGCTGTTAAAACCCAATAGTTTTCTTAATGTTTTTCCTTCACACCTCCCAAACTTTACTACATAAGATACACTACAGTTGCAGGAAGCAATTTATCCACCAGTACCCTCACCCCAGCATAATCCCCGACTATATTATCAAATATTTTCTTCATCCTTGATATTATGCTTAGCAGTAACAATGGTAACACTGTCTGCAAAAGTTCATATAAAACTATTAGCATGTTTCCTGTGAACCACCTGCTCTCACTCGAGAAAATCACTCAGTAATTACAGGTTACACCAATCCTGGAGTGAGTCTGGGCTCCTCAGGACAACAGGGACATGGAGGGGCTGGAGCGTGTGCAGGGCAGGGAACGGAGCTGGGAAGGGGCTGGAGCCCCAGGAGAGGCTGAGGGAGCTCGGAAGGGGCTGAGCCTGGAGCAAAGGAGGCTCAGGGGGCCCTTGTGGCTCTGCACAGCTCCTGACAGGAGGGGACAGCCGGGGGGATCGGGCTGTGCTCCAGGGAACAGGGACAGGAGCAGAGGGAACGGCCTCAGGCTGGGCCAGGGCTGGAAGTTCAAGTTTGACAGTAGGGAAAATTTCTTTCATAAAAGGGCTGTCCAGCCCTGACACAGCTGCCCAGATTGGAGTCCCCACCCCTGGAGGGATTTAAAAGCCATGTGGATGTGGCACTTGGGGACATGGGTCAGAAGTAGCCTTCGCAGGCTGGGGGAATGGTTGGACTCAATGACTTTTCCAATCCAGACTTTAGAGGGCTTTTCCAAAGCAAATGGATCCTACAATTCTATGGTTTTGCAGACCAACCTTCAGTGTCTAAGCAATTTTAATTGAGAAGGTACCAAAACAGACTGAATATGTACTGATCCCTGACTAAAGCTGTCAACTTCACAGAATCTGAATTCCTAAGTTCTCATATGGTTCCTCACTGATCAGATCCCATGGTTCAGCATCTCTGCTATGACACAGCAGCAAAACCATCAATGTCTTGGAACTGTTCTCTGCCACTGAAAGTACCAATCTGAATAATTCTGACGCTATCTAAGAGAAAAAACTTCACACACAAGACTGTGTAATCCAAGTACTCAATACAAACAGAGACTGAATGGAGTTTCCATAATTTCCATACTATCCAAGCAGAAGAGTTTCCGGTCCTGATGATGCACAGGATGTCAGTGGGAAAAGTCAGTGCTTCTCTCTACTCAGCAGCCAAAAGATTCTGTATTCCTGCCCTTGGGATGAAAATTGCTATTGAAATTTCTGTGGGAGGCATAAGAAAGTCAGAAGGGGTTTGCAGAACAGACATATCCATCATTACAATTTGAGAAATGCCAAGGAGGCAAGGGAATGGTGTTACTGCTAAAGCCACACCCTGCCCCTGCTGCCACAGAGCAAGACTCCTGCTCTGCTCAAACACCAAAAATCACTGCAAAGGGACACTAAAATGGGTAAGACAACAATAGAAAAGCACCACAGAACAGAAAAAAAAAACCCTGTTGACAGTATTAGGCATGTCTAAAAACAGTAATTACAAAAAAGATTGATTTAACCTGTTGCTGTTCATGCAGAAGGTTACAGTGTGCACACAGGAAAGTTTATATGATGGTTCAGCAGTAAAGAGCAGCAGTGCTTGATAGAAAATGTCAGGTCTTAGGTAGCAGACAGCTGACAAGGGATTATGGCACAAGATGCCCAAACTCCTGTGAGCAGGAATAAGCTGCTTTACAGCCATCATCTTATACCAGAGCTGAAGATAAATCATGGAAAATGCTTTTATTTCTTATGATACATTAGAAGATAGCAGCATGGTTAAAGAAGTAATTCTTTATGACACCACTCAGCACATGTGCTATATTCATTCTTTCAGTGGTGTTAAATATTTTGAAAATTAAAGGGAATAGCTTAACAAAGATATGTGAAACCTTTCAGAAAAATCACATTATTGAGCTTTGAAGTGGTTTTCAGTATAAAGGAGATAAGTTCTTCTAAGATTAGAAAATGTAAGAAAGTGGTTTTGTTTTCCTCTTACCTTTCCAATTCTTCAAAACTAGTCACTGCCAGTAAAAGTATCATTTATTATATTAACCTGGGCCCAAAAAAACCTTCATGAACAAATTTCAAGAACTGCTCTCTTGAGCTGAATAAAATGGAAATTGTAAGGAGATGAGAAACAGCCTTCTGAGGGCTGACAGCAAACAAACCAAATAAATGGGGTATCTTTTAGATTAAATCTCTTTTTACTACATTCCGTCTTATTTTTGAAATACATTTGGTCACAAAGACACTGCATCAGTTCTGATAAACACAGAAGTTGCTGACCACTGTGCTGCTAAATGTTCTGGAAGCACAGAGCAGCTGCAGCCTGAATGCCAAAAAAACAAACCTTTAACTGAGATGTGGAAAACCCAAAACTCACAGAAAATAATTGAAGAAGTCTATGTACAGAGGAACTTGTTCCAAAATGAACTATGAGCAACAGATGGTATTTTCTCAAATTTTGAGGCAAAATGCTCTTGATGGAAATATGTAAACACTGCATTATCCAACTAAATAAAATTTCCTGAAATATTTATGAAGCCTTGTCTATTTTGGGACCAAAGTTAATTTTGTGTAACCTGGTTCATAAAGCTCAGCAGTGACAGACAGGGAGAAGATGAGAGATTACTGCTGAAAGACAGTGAAGTACCTGGGTACATGGTACATGGATGTTGTACATCCATCCCAGAGTCCCTCAACTCTTCCTCACCAAAATCCTGTTTGTGATTATAACTGGTTACCTATAATTTACACTAAGTTTTCTAACAAACTTTAATTAACTTACCACACATTAAGATGACTAATATATTGCAGAAAAATAATTTTACATATCAGAAAAATTCCACAAAGCTTTTTCCCATGGGAATGTAACATGACTCTTCCTATTGACTCAATTTATCAAAATCTAGAAGATTAGTACTGGAATGGGAAAACTTGTCATTATTTGTTCAGATAACTTTTTTTGGCTGCATTGAGTAAGCATCTTATTTCTCTGTGAGTGCCACAAATTATCTGCTGGTGAGTAGATAAAAGACCTGCCTTTGGGAACTGCAACATCCATTTTCTCCACAGTTTATCTGGAGAGAACAGATATACTTCAGATAATGAGTCCTATTGCAGTGAATAAAGCAAATTGAACCTGCAATGTAACAATACATCTTATTTTCTCTAGAACAGGACGGCTGTTTTTTGTTATTAGCCAACATTATCTTTGAGGTCAAGGGTTTGGGTTAACAAACACATAAACGCTGGAGTGGAACAGGCTCACAGTACACACTGTGCCAGCTTGATAGCAACACAAAAATGCATTGGAACACAATGTTTTTGGAGAATATGTCGTTCAGTAGTGGGCCACAGCTCACCCAGTTTGGGCTCCAGCCCGAATATGAACAAGAGGAGCTCTGGAAGAGCTCCACCACATTCCAGTAACATATCTGAAGGGCAAATGGAGAAAAAAAAAAAGGTATCTTACGTGTATCAACTTTGTTTCAGAGAAGTGAAGGCAATCAGACATCTCCCAAAAGTGCTGGGGATAACAAATACAGGAGGATTAAACAACAGCAATGGATTAGAGGCTTGTCTCCCCAGAGCCTTCTCTTCCCCAGGCTGAACACCCCTAGTTCTGTGACTCTTACTCAGAGATTGTTAAGAATTGCTACTTTTTGTGCAAAGTCTGGGTTACTGTTTCTATAATTTACCAATTCTGTGGAAGAATTCCTGTTTTAAAACCTGACTTAGCATATCCCTCAGTTCCTAATCAACAAAGAAATGAGAAAAATAGGAGAAATAGCTAATTACATGAAAGGAATTAAAAGTTTATCTTTTCAATTACACCTGTGAAAAACATTAGGGTGTCCATACAATTCAATAAAAATGAGTAACAGACTCTTATAAATTTCTGTTTCTTGTAAATATATTCTCTAAATTTTGAGAGGTTTTTCAGGAAGGTATTTCACAGAGAACAAGAACCCACTCTTGCCAATGGGGATAAACAAAATGTAAATTCTCCCTTCTACATTTCTTTAATGCTGTTTTCAGGCCAGGTGATGAGGAAATCGGTTTTCAGTAAGTGGCTTATTTTGCTCCAATAAACCTACTTTGTGATACTTCATATGAGCAGCAGAGAGGAGCCTATCCTTTTTCAAAATCCAATTTTGGTTTTGGATTTCTGTCTATATTAATAATTTTTCGTATCCAAGACTTTTTCTTATTCACTTCTTACCAAGACTGTCTTTTAATATGGTTGACTCATTCCCTTTAAAATACTCTCCTTGCCTTCATCCCATCATTCAGTCTCCTGGCCACCCACACTGCCAATCAGCAGCAGTTGTGTAACATTATAGGTAATATTAACAACAGCCACCAGTGGGAGAATTGCCCTCAGCATGACACTGTGAAATGCTGCTCAGGGGGCACAAGACCTCTCCGGGAAGATAAATTGTAAACTGATGAGATTAACTTGCTTCAGTAGCATGGACACTACGTGTAATAAATGTGGCTCTGCAGAAGTAGAATATGGTCCCGTTTCAAGATTTTATAGAATTACAGAACCGTTTAGGTTGGAAAAGCCCACCAAGATGGAGTCCAACCATTCCCCCAGCACTGCCAAGGCTACCACTGACCCAAGTCCCCAGGTGCCACATACACATGGCTTTTAAATCCCTCCAGGGGTGGAGACTCACCACTGCACTGAGCAGCTGTGCCAGGGCTGGTCAAGCCTTTCCATGAAGAATTTCCCCGATATCCACCCCGAGCCTGCCCTGGCCCAGCCTGAGGCCGCTCCCTCTGCTCCTGTCCCTGTTCCCTGGGAGCACAGCCCGATCCCCCCCGGCTGTCCCCTCCTGTCAGGAGCTGTGCAGAGCCACAAGGGCCCCCCTGAGCCTCCTTTGCTCCAGGCTCAGCCCCTGCCCAGCTCCCTCAGCCTCTCCTGGGGCTCCAGCCCCTTCCCAGCTCCGTTCCCTGCCCTGCACACGCTCCAGCCCCTCAGGGTCTCTCTTGTCCTGAGGGCCCAGAGCTGTCCCCAGCATTTGAGGTGTGGATGCTTTAGTTCAGACAGATTTGAGCAGCATCTCCACAAGTGAATAACTTCTTCCGTTATTTTATCCAATGTGAAGCATACTATCTTCCTCTTATAGTATGTTTCTCAAAATCATTGGGTCTTGGATCACCCTAATTTCTATTATTTTCTTTGTCTTTCCAGTGCCAAATCCCAGATATCTGCAATGAAGGAGTCTAAAGATCTATGTTTGGTTACTTTTTAAATAACTTCTTAGTACCCTTTGGTAGTAATGGATGGCTTTTTTTAAAACAACTAAAAACATACAAAAATGCCACTGGTTAGTCTGTAAATGTCCCAGTAAAATACAAAGAGGAGAAATTGGAAATGGAAGGTACAACGTGTTCCGCCAATATCTCACAGAGAAAAAGCAGCACATAGAAATTCCAATTCCAGTTAGATATTTAGTACCAAACAGCCTAAAAGGTTTGGTACATACTTTCTTCCTCGTCCATTTCCTCTACTTTATACGGCTGCATGTTTAAAAAAACAATTACTGGGATGTTTATAACATATGGTCACATACTTATGGTTTTTAAGCACTACATTTTTCAATCAAAACCTTGCGTTAGGAACACCAGAAAATTGTTTTAATGCATTGTTGAAATAGATTGCTGTTATAAAAATAAATCCTACTCTTTGGAGAGCTACTGCATTAGATTGTTCTGTTTGTCTGTGGACGTCTGACCAAGATGAACCATCCAGGTGAATAATTGGTTTCTGAGAAACCCTGAACAAACCACTCATGTGAAAGAGGCAGCAGGAAAAGCATCTAATGGCCAAATCATCAAAGAAGGGTGCTTTGGGGATCAGTACTGCTCCTTTTTTCATCCAAACACTCCAATACTTGCCATTAGTGTAAATAAAACAGATGTTGGTTTACATGGCAGTAATAAACAGTTTTATAGAGAGGCCTATGAGGGCTTTATCTTAATAATGTATCAAATTTTCTATCTACAGCTATACCTAAGACCCTTCTAAAATACCAGCGTTCCCAGGCTTCCAGTTCTCTCAAATGCAACCCAATTAGCTGTGCAGGAGAAAGTTCTCCTGTTTAACTTAGGGAGGTGCAAAGGAACCCCAAGATCTCATCCTTTTATAAGACAAGCTCTTACAATTTCTTCAGTTTAATCATCTTTTCTTTTAAGAACACTCATTTAAGCAGTCTTCTCAAAAAACATGGGGTTTGAGCACAGATTTTGAACAAATGCCATAATTTATACCCTTTACTGCAAAATAATGACAATGTCCTAAAGCTCTACAACTATTAAAGTAGAAAAAGTAAAAAAATTATTATCATATTTGGTTTATTTCAAATGTTTCTAACAAGCAAAACAAGGGGTTTTGAAATTCAGCAGGTGTTCTTCCACTTATTTGTTTTCCTTTCTCATAAACCTGAAGAATGAAAGATTTTCAATCAGATGATTATAAGATGCTACTGCCACAGTAAATGTTCTTTCACACCAAATGAATTTTCATCCCTATTTGCCAAAATAATGAGAATTTCTAAGTGAAATAAAGCTTAAAACCGTCTGTGTAACACAAATACCAGACACCAATGGCACTTTTGTGGATGTCCTGGGTGATGAAAGACCAACATCCTATTGAGGAACATCATCTTGATGTTCTTCAATATATTTAATGTAAAAATCTTTCAATCACAAGCAATGTATTTGTAAAGACATAATAATGCAAAAGCCAGCTGCAAATAACTATTAGTACTTCATAGTAATACACAGAAGTTTGAAGAGACTGAACTTCACCAACATCTTTTTTCACAGGATTTTTGGATAGTTCTTCTGTTTAAGGATAATTTATGCAGCATTTTCTTATGAAAGTTTCAATTCATTTAAAGGAAAGAACTGATTAAGAATTCAGACAGAACTGCAGAATTCAGCTATTACTCAATAGAAAAGCTTGCTTTAGATTTGGGTTAGGTTGGTTATTTCAGTCTATTCTGAAATAGCTATTTTTTGGTGATATAAAAATAGGGGGATTAGGTAGGAGTAATATTCTATAAAATATAATTCATGTGAAGGAGGGTATGACTAATATTTAGAAAAAGTATTTTTAGGCCCTCTGCTCAATACTGGAGACAGGCAAACCCAAGAATAACCTGATATTGAAAACGTTACTTCATCAGCCATCAAGTCAGAGTAATCAAAAGGAAGGTGTTATCCTGCAAAACAAGGTGACTCTCCTATTAAGTGCAACTTGAACAGCTAGAAGCCACATACTATTCAAAACCCACCCAGTACTATATTGCTTTACCATATGCTTTCATTAAACAACACCCTAATAAAAATTCTCTTGTATAATCACATTTTAAGTTTATTCCTCTAGACAACATGAGAAACTAAAAATTCACACACAAAAATGAAGTTTTTTAGACTACTAACGATGCATGACTAAGCTATTAAAAAAAAATCTTACTGGGTTTCCTGATGCCATTTTGAAATGGAAGAAAATAGAGACAATAAAAACACTGAAGAGACCTAGGCAGTGCTTTGGGTGGTAAGTAGGTGGTTTCTGAATTTTAAAGAAAGATTATGACAAAAAACAAACAAACAAACAAAAAAAAAAAAACCAAAAAAAAAAAAACCCCCAAGAACTACCTTAGTTTTTTTTCCTCACTCCAGTATTTGACAAATATGGACATATCTCAGTTAGCAATCTTGATTTAATTTGGCAAAAGTTTCCCATTCTGCCAGCAGTGTATCCATTCTACATATTTTGTGAGTTCTTAGCAGTTACCACCGAGCAGTACTTTACAGACTACCAGCTGAACAATGTTAATTGCATCACACTAACTCTATTACAGCCGACCAGTTTATTTGGAAGTAGGTTTAATTTCATTTCTGCATCATTTCTGGAGTCATCAGATGATAATTGTGGGGAAGACTTCCCATTTCTTCGTGATAGCACACGTTCATAGGAGAACACTTCTATGTGATGGCAGAGCTCTGCCTTAAACTGCTCTTTAGATAATTAAAAAAATCAGACAGAGCTGCAGGATACCTCATGTAATGTTAGATATGCAAGCACAGAACATATTATAGGACCTGATGAACCTAGAGGTCTTTTCCACTCCAAATGGCTCTATGATTCATAGAATCATATAATCCTAGAATCATTTGGGCTGGAAAGGCTTACAGATCATCTCCTTCTAATCCCCTAAACATCACAACATTTATTTAAAGGTCAAATTATTCACATCATTAGTGAATAAAATACTTGTTTTTTTCATACTGGATTAAAAATTAACTTCTCTGCATGTAACTGAATCTAGAACATTAATAGATTCTAGATCTGTTCCATTATGTTTAAAAGACAGCAAATACTGCAGTTCATGCACCTGATTTTACCTACTCTTTAGCAATTTCAAGTTTCTAAGATAAATATGGAGCTCTTAATTATAACAGGCATTTTTTTCCTAGGAAGTAAATGATGCAGGGGAACCTTTTTACATCTCTTGATGTACAGGGGGGAGACTGGGCTGGTTCTCCCTTGGGGAAACTCAAACGAAGGACTATTTATGAAGTACTTGGAGGTTTGAATATAATCAAATGTAATAACAAGATATAAGCTCCCACCCCCCGAAATTTCTTTTTCGTTGAAACCACTTTTGTAATACTGCTTTTTAATAACCCCCATAATGGCCGAATTAGAGGGACCCCAACTGAAGTCATTCATCCCACATAAAACAAACATTGCTTTTTCTTCTTAGCTTTGTTTTACAAGCTACATTACTTCCAGATGACGCTCGAGGGGCCTAGGAGTTTCAAGAGTTAGATGGTTAAACAGACAGCTGCTTTCTATTTACCATATAAATCAGGGAAAAATCAAAGAAGAATCTAAATATTGGAATTCATTTAGCCCATTATGGAGCACAAACTGAGGGGGAAAAGAAAATAATACAGAAATCTCATCATCCAGATGCGAAGTTTAATTCTGGTTATCAAGATGAGAGAAAAACTCATCAACATTTGCAGAATTCCAGCCCTCCATGAAAGCCAGCTTTGCAGACTGGGTAAATTTACTGGATTGGGAAGGAGTCATGAAAAGTCAGCTCTGATTGGGAAGTCTCCAGCACTACCAGGCTTTGCTACTGCAGACTTTATATATATAACTACACATCAAAACATATATTTTTATACATATACATGCACACACAAAGCTCACTACATTTGTGTTTTTTACATTTTTCCCTTTGAGTTGCCAACATGCTTTCATTCTATGCTAAATAACCCAAAATCCAACAGATTTTGGACAGAGGATTAAAGAATGGCTCTCCATATATTGGTTAATGTATCTATTAATATGAAAAGTTTGATATTATTCTACAAGGTTTTTATCCCAAATTTCATCCACCACTGATGTGCTGTTTAAATTATAATGCTGTGTACTAAATAATTGAATATATTGCCACTAAGTGGGATTATTTTTAGAATTTTTCCTAACACATTTAAGCTTCATCTGGCTAGAACAAATTTTTTTAAACCCAAAATTCAGGAGGTAAAACTCAAGTGATGTCGTCTGCCAAACTACTTGAATCTAATACTATATCTACATTTAATTTTTTATTTCCTCAATTTTTGCATTAAGGAAACTATTTTTTCTCACATCAGCAAGAAAATGACATGAACTTGCCAAAAATCAAAATTTACTCTCTTCTCCATAGAAAGAGTTAAGGAGGAACTCTTGTTACCAGCTGTAGTTTAAAAAGCAGTGAAAGCACTCAAAAATCATAAAGAATACTATGAAATCCTTGAAAAGAAATTTTTGGTGTAGATGGTAGCTCCAACAACACATCTGACGTGTTACTTCCCAAGAGAAGTTAGCATGTCTCTAGTTATGCTGTTAAGTACCTCTGATTTGATAAATTACATTAGGCTGTAATCAAATTACTAAGAAAATCATTGATATGTTTACTTAAGTAATGTGTCTTGATTTGAACTGAAAGAAGCAAAATTCTCAATTATTGTATTACCAGTTTTCTTGTTTGCTAAAAACATTGGAAAACATGCTTTCATTGAATGCAAGAAAGTAAGAAAGATAAACTTAAGTGGACTCTTCCCATTTCCAATTGGATTATATGTAGTATTTCAAAACAGGTCAATGCTGCTACAAAAACAATGAATAATAGTCTAACAAAGGATTGTATCCAACAATGAATAATAGTCTGAACAAAGAATTGTGTCTTTGAGGCAATAACGACAGGGGTTGGTTGTCTCTGTCCTGCTGCCTTCTCCATCCTGCTCCTGAATCCACCACACTGACAAGAGTTTATCAGGAAAGGACCAGGATACTGGTCCAGCCTCAATAAATGAAACAAGTTGCTCTTTTCTTTTTTAAAAACCAGAAAAACCCCAGCAAGAACAATATCAAGGCCAATGGGGTCAGTTCCTTACTCCAGTTCCCAGCTCCACTGTTACACCACAGCCTGATGGCAGACTGCAGCAGATAACTCACAAAAAGAACATTAATAAACATGTAAAGGTAGAACTCAGTATATTCCTACCACCATCAGGGAGTATAAGCTTAGGAACTGTGTATTGGGCAAAAAACTTACTAGAATATACAGAGTACTATGGTTCAAACACATAGAATTTAAGACAGCATCTTAAACAGCACCTAGAATAATTTTATGTGATTTAACCCTTGGATTGGGGTTCCATGCAAATTCCCATTTGGATTACAGAGCACAGTAAGAAAATGAATAATTTCTAAATTAAAGTGAATGAAAAAATGGTGGAAAAGGCATTTTTAAAATACAGATTTGGTCCGAACAGAACCTGGCAAGAGAGCTGCTTATTAGGCAAACCTCCACCTCTCAACAAACAAACCTGCGCAGAGCACGCAACATTGGAATCACCCTTTTCCTTAGCTCCACACTGGGATACAGAGGTAAAACGTGCTCCAGGACTTCTGACATTTCAGCCCCCTCCACTCCTGCACTCCTCCTTGTTCTTACACACAGTATAAACACAGGCTTTCAGAAGCAGAATATGCTGAAGTGATGAAATCTGGCCTCAACTTTTTTAGTCAACTGCCTGTGTTTCAGGCTGAGCTGTAACATGAGCAATTTGGAGAGGAAAAAGAAAGGACCAGAAAGCCATGCCTTAAAAGTTTACCTTATTGTTTCAAAATACAGGCTACGAACTTAATTTACTCTCCCCTACACCAATCTTTCCAAGGGCTCTCTTTTCCCCTTCCATCCCTACATCATACTAACAGTAAAAAGAAAAAAAAAAATCGGTGGAGTATCTAAGCCTCTTGGCTGTACTCCAGGGAGCTTTCCCAGCTCTATCAGCTGCATTGTTCAGCTGTTTCTGAATGTAAGGGGACAACTTCATACAGAAAGCTTTTCCCCCTGGGCCTTTCCTTAACTGCAGTATTGTTTACATCCAGCAAGTTAAAAAGTTCAAAACCTATAAAATATTTTTCAAGCATTATTTTTTTTTCAAGCAAGTATTCTTACACATCTTAAAATATACATCTTCATATGTATGTTACCACATGCCTGTGTGTGCCTATGTGTTTTGCAGAAATGTGTATCATGCTGTTTCCTTATTTAAGTCATTAAACTATTATATCAAATTATCTTTTTAGGTATTTTTATATTTAATGCTAGAGTAATAGAATATGCAAAGTCACAGGCAGGCATATTCTGGACCATGCATTAGTCCTGAAAATAAAACAGTTGATACATTTTCATCCTCAAAAATCCCAAGCAAATGATGATTTTCTTTCCTGCACACAGTACTGCAGTGAGGGTTCAAATGAGTACAGACCAAAGATACTTCAGCAGCACAAAGATATTATTCAAGTCCTCTCAAGACGTCTCCTTCTTCCACCCAAAGCAGAAATTTCCCAACAAGCCGTGCAATTAAATACAAAATTGTTGCCTACTTGTGGGCATTGGCTCAGCAAACTGAAGGGAACTCAAAGTATCCATGTATTCAGAACATACTAATTTACCCCATGACTCCAGTACTCCCTCAGAGGCTCACTGGGAATTGTTTTCAATCATTTTTAGGCATTTTAAGATTCTGTGGATGCTAAAGCCCACTTCTTAATAAGGCCGTTTTCAATGGTGTGATTTAAATATTCTGAATTACAAATGGCTTGAAAAGCATGAGTTGACAGTAAGTCTCTTCCCTCTGCATAGCTGTGGTTTTGTTCTGCCATTTCTAAGTGTAATTCTTGTTTTTTAGAGACGTTTCAGACATGACATCATTCATACAGGTTCCTGTATTTTGATGTTGGTGGTTGCTCAGCTGCCACACTCTGAGGATTCTTTGCAGATTTAGGGATGTATGACTTGAATTCCAAAGCACCCATTACAACATTCATTTTGATACTCACATAATCAGGAAGTGGAGAGTCGTTTGAACCCAAGGAACCTCTCAAGGACTGCGTGGCTTGCTCCAGCACTTTGTTGTGTTTTTTAGACAACAGAGAAAATAGACTGGGGGAAAAAGAAATTAAAATAACTTCACGAGAGTGTTCTGAAATAGTTAAGACTGTTCAGAAAGGAAAGGTGTCTTATTATATACACAAACTTTTTAGAATGTAATGCACAGTTGTATTATTTATTTATTTATTTAGCAGCTGGGTAAGTAACAGCAGAGTTTGAATCAGAAACATTCTTTACAATATATGCTCTGAAGAACATTTTCCGTTCATTATTAAATTCTTAAAAGTCGAACTGTCACAGAAGGAATGGCATACATACAATTTTAGTTCATAAATAGTTTGTGTTCACTAGAATGCAATTTTTAAGTGCAGCACCTCATGCAATACATTGTAATATATACTTAAGTATCTCATATATTATCCATTTTAATAACCTATTGCTTAGACAGGAGAAATCTGAGTATATGATAAAAGCTTTGTGTATTTTGAGGCTGAGTTATTGCATTTTACTAGTACATATTATTTTCAAATTTATTTTAGCCTAAGTCAATTGAAAAAGGATTACCTTAGCTTTATAATCTGTTAAATCAGAGGTCCATACACATACAGAGAAATAAACATATTTTTCTTGCATTCTGGAAAAAAGCAGGGCAATGACACTCACAGAGGATGGTGTAACCTGATTTACAAGGAGAATTGTGGAAGTAGCAGCAGTGGGCAAAGACCATCAGGTAATGCTCAGCAGCAGCAAGGAGTCAGATACTCCCCTAAAGCCCTGGACAGCTCAAACATGGCTATCAATTAATAGATGAACACATCCCCATATTGGAAGAGCTTCTCAGACCATTGAGTCCAACATCCCCCATGCACTGCCAAGGCCACCACTCACCCATGTCCCCAAGTGCCACATCCACTTTTAAATAGTGGCTTTTAAATCCCTCCAGAGATGGGGACTCCACCAGTGCTCTGGGCAGCCTGTGAAACAACAACCCCTTCCGTGGACAATTTTTCCCTAACATCCATTCTAAACCTACTCTGGTGCAACCTGAGGCCATTTGCTCTTGTTAGGTATCAGATGTTTTTAGGCTTTCTGCATTTAAAAACATCATTTGGACTTCTTTACTTCTTTTTGGAGCATTTCAGGACTCCTATCAGGTCTTCCAAGGATGACTGTGTGTGTTTTAGGGGGTGGAATGGCTGGCTTGTCATGAGCTCTTGTCATCCCATTGCTAAAGAGCCTCAGGAAAAGGCTTTTCCAACACTTCTCACAGCCACTAGGAATTAGTTACACTAACTCACAGCTATTAGTCAATACCATTTGAACATTCCATGCTAAAAGGGGAAGAAGCAACACAGAAATTAAGATATATTGGTAGCTTTCCACCTTTTTCCCTCTCCCATATTCTATTATTGCACTCACAGACTGAAATTTTTTTTCAGATCAATAACTGGATCTGCAAACTGGTCCTTGGTAGCAAACAGTAACAAACTACTTCTGCAACCACGGGTATCTTTGAAGACTCAGATTTCAGAGATACTGTCATCAGCACCATCTAGTGCTGTGGAGACAAAATAATCAGTTAAAACCAAGCTGGAGATGCTTATGGTGGGATGCAGCAAAATCAGGTAAAATCTGGTGTCTGCTCCAGAAGATAGTTTCACAAAGAGGAAGAATTTGGAATAAAGCAGATTTCCAGCTAGTAGATTCTTCTCCAAAACACATAAACCATTTTGGCTTTAAAGGAATTTTAAATATAAACAAGGAAAAGGGATCAAGATTTTGAAAGTGCATGTGTCCAATGCATATGAAGAGGAAAATGAACATACAGTGGTACTCTGCATGGAACCAGAATATCAAAAAGTAAATTTATTTATTCCAAAAGAAATGTAGAGTTCTGGGAAAAAGCAGAAAGGAAAATAATGGACAAATTATTTCCTTATATATTCCTTAAAGGCGTTTTTTTTTAATAATTATGTGTATTATAAGTAGAGTTTATGGCATAAGAAAGATCTTGGTGGCTGATTTCTAGTTAAAGAGCAGCAGTGCAGAGGCTTTTGTTGTCTTTCCCCTTGCAAAGTTCTGCTTCCCAGCCACAAACTCATGTCCTTCACACCATGCTGGAACAATTTTTTGTGGGACCAGTGCCCATAACACAGATATCCAGGTTAGAAAAACTCAAGTAAAATTCTCTCCTCCATCCATTGGTAATCCTTCTTTAAGGACCATCCCTTAGGTAAGCACAAGGGCAGGGATATATGGCAGGATTTTTCATACTAAATTCTTCATAATAAAAATGCATAGAACTGCAAACTCAAACACCCCCACAAAAACACTACAGCAAAACACAGAAAAAAAAAAAAAAGAAATCAAGGTCAGATATTGTGATTAGGAATGGATTTGGAGCTTCCTAGGAAATACTGTTGCTCCCTAAATTGGTGCAAAACCTCAATTCCAAGTCATTCACTTATTATTGTGCCTCTGTCTCTAGCTCTGAAAACCACCTTGATAAATATCAGACTAATTTTTAAAGTCTCAGCACAGGGTTAGTTACAACCCTCAAAAGGCATTTCTACGAAGTTTAGCTCATAAATACTTTTCATCACCAACAAATGCTGCATTCTAGAAGAGTTGCTTTATTTTGCAGCAGCCACGTCTCCAGTGTTTGTAAGGTTTTAAGCTTGATTTTGATTTTCAAGGCATGAATAATGCCATTTTAAAAAAGCAAAAATCCTTTACAACAAGGTTGTTCCCCTCCTCACAACAAGGTACAAGGTCCAGAAGTGGAAGCTGTGACTGTCTCCCAAATTCCCTCATGTGTCTTCATCACGCATCTGTTTTTGCCCAACTAAAAGCCAAGTTGAGATCAAAAAGAAAAATATATGTACTGTGTGGTCACTAAGGGCAGTGTGCACAGGCTGACAAGAATATGGATTTTTCTACCAGAATATTTGTCCTCTTTCATCCACTCTTCTCCATCAACTGTCAGGCAGGCTATGGAGCCTGACAGCCCTTCAATTTCACCCATTATGGACTTTTCATAACAATAAAGAGCTATGTCCAGAACAATTAAATCATCTTGGTACCCCTCATCTCAACTCCTCTCTCCCTCACAGAAGCACATCCAGGCCAATGCATAGTGAGCAAAACAGCAAGTTGGAATAAGAGCAAGATGAAGTAACAGCTGGCATCCGTTAGGAAGATTAGGACACATCAGCTGGCATTATCAGGAGAAATTCCTGGCTGTGAGGGGGGTGAGTCCTTGACACGGGGTGCCCAGAGAAGCTGTGTGCAGCTGGGAGTCTCCAGGTCCCTGGCAGTGTCCAAGGCCTGGCTGGACAGGGCTTGGGGCAGCCTGGTCTAGTGGAAGGTGCCCCTGACCACACACAGTGTGATCTTTAAGGTCTTTGCAACCCACACCATTCTAGGATAATGTGATCTGTTGCAGACCATCAAATCGCAGCAGCGATGAGCTCAGCCAACAAGGAAGTCTAAAGGCTGAACAAAGTCTCAAGGTCCCGTGGTTGTTTGTTTTTAAGGAATTAAAAACAACATTGATTTCTTACCTCCCTTTGCACAGCAGGTTTTAATTTAACTCAGGGCTGAACTTCAATAAATAAAAGAAATTAATACAGACTAAATAGTAATGGTTGCTAATACCAGTGAATTGATTAAGTGCTATTTGCACACACAATAAAATGCAAACCAGTAATATATGAACTTAACACTTTCAAAAAGTCAACTCCACAAAGCTTATAGATCCCAAAAGGAAAAAAAAAAAAAAGCCAATATGGAAACACATTTAACAACTGCCTCAAAAAGTCTAATTTACATCAGTTTGAAAAAGCTCATCAAGTACACTTTTCACATCAAAAAGCCCCAATGTATAAAATGCAGCTTTTATAACTAAATTTGGAAAAAAAATATGTGAGAACTAAAATTAAAAGTTGAAAGGAAATCTGAAGTTAGAATTTGCCAAAATGTTTTCTGAAAGCTTTGAACAATGAGAAGGAAAGGTAGCAATGTACTTTATTTTAAGGAAGTGAATAGGATGCTCCAGAACAACAACATGCCAGTTTGTCCTGAGCATAATACTGGAACAGTGATTGTCAAACTCATTCTAAGGAGGATATCACCAACACTAAAAAATACACCTTCTCAATGGTCTTTCAATGAGACTGTAAGAAAAATAAAGCACAGTACCTGTGTTGTAACAGGCTTCTACAAATCATTTATATGACTTTGCTCCACATAAGATTTTTTTAAATTAATACAGTTGAATAATAAAAAGTAACATGGGATGCATTATATGAACTGAGACATCCCAACAGTCTGAAAAATATTCTTAATAGGTCCAAACAGGAATACATTCTTAGGCCATCTAAATAACAAAAGCTAATAAACACTTGATCAAGCCATCAAAATACTTTCAATATAGAGAGAGAATATATAAAGTGACTTATATCGATATACATCAAGGGTAAAGAAATGTCAATGGCCTGAAGTTGTGCCAGGGAGGGTTAGGTGGGATGTCAGGGAAAGGCTCTTCCCCAGAGGGTGCTGGCACTGCCCAGGCTCCCCAGGGAATGGGCACGGCCCCGAGGCTGCCAGAGCTCCAGGAGCCTTTGGGCAGCACTGCCAGGGATGCTCAGGGTGGGATTGCTGGGGGTCTGCGCAGGGCAGGAGCTGGGCTGGGGGATCCTGGGGGGTCCCCTCCAGCTCAGGATATTCTGTGATTCTATTAAATACTACAATTAAACTTTGCAAATGGCACAGTCATTACAGGAGTGATAAGTAAAGAGAAAAGGCATTTTAATTAAATTTTTTTTTACCTTTTGAGAAGTTGGACACAAAATAAACTTGCTGAGACTTAATGCAGCAGCAAGCAATCCCAGCTGCTCCCTAAGTATGAAGGATTTCACCCTGGGAGCAGCAGCTAAGGATGACCAAAGAAAAAACAGCTGCCTATAACGCAACAAAGCTGCTGAAAGAGTACCTATCTTTGGTTTTAACAAAAATATGGCCCTTCATGACAAGAAAGACATTGAGGCACT